CCAACAAATGTTGCTTTAAGTGAACACACCTAATTTAAAGCGGTTGCAGATACCAACATATCTGCAATCATTACTGGTTTACCTCGCTGGTTACCATGTGGAGTTGGGACGTATGAAACTTGGGCCAGTTTATGACGAAATTATTCGGAAATTTTTTCAGGTAATCTTTTTTTTTCCCAATAATCTTCGAATCGTGGGGTGTTATCCATTACAGCACCGTCTGTCATGCTTCATACAGCAGCTGGAGCACTTACATCTATATGTATGTCGCACCCGTACATGTCACTGTGTACTCTGTAAAGTTGCTTTTTTATTGCACATCGTCACATTGCACACTATTTCAGTTCTTTATCAGTTTTAACCAGTTTTTAAAGTCAATTTTTTCACACACTCGTTCATCTTTCTGCAGCCTGAGAGAGTGACCGTGCAGTTTCTGTCGGTTGTCAAATTTTCCACTTTTTTCCAAAAAAAAAAAGAAGTGTTTTCCGCAATCTTTTGACACATAAATGCTTTTTAACTTTGTACTAGCGAAAGTTTGTCCATTTATTTTTGAAAAAAAAAAAGGTGCCAGTCATAAAGTTTTTGATTGCAGGAAGCGGAAGAAAGAGCCAAAAGTAGAGATGCTTCGATGGATGAGAAGCAGACGGCTGATTTCGTTGTGCCCGCTGCTATTGTAGATTTTCAGGAAAAGAAGCAGCAGCACCAATCACCACAGGATATAAAGGAGCGTGCAATTGCTTCCGCTTTGGCGACTTCAGAAAATGCATCTGAAACGGACAGATCGACCTGTAAGTTTGCTTTTATAGTTAAAATGGGGATATTTCCTGCAGAAACATGGAGCAATCGTGATATCTGAGCTACGCTTTTTATTATTTTGCGGGAGGACATTTCTAAAAAGCGAAGCGGTTACTAGTCCGCCATTGATTTATTTTCGGAACGCTTTGTAGCAACAGCCACGTCACTGACTTCAATTTTGAACTCTTCCCATCCTTACCAGGCCATAAAATCGAGTTAGCGAATCGGCCCAGCGCCTCGGTAGCCTCCTTTTAATATGTCTTTTAATATTTTTGGTTTTAGCTTCCTTTTAATATTTTTGGTTTATAAATAAATGCGATCATTTTTCTGGACAGAACTGAAAGATTTAGCTTTTTCGCCGAACGACTGGCCAGCATCTTTTCTTAATATGCATTTCCTCTAAATATTTTTTGGTTTTTTAAATAAATGCAAGTATTTTTCTGGACAAAGCTGAAAGATTTTGCTCAGCGGAACAAAAAAACCAGAATTTATAACGTCAAAATCGCTTTTCGTTTTTCTTTTCTGTTGGGCACTTGGAGGTATTCCAAGGGTACCATATACTATCTGTTATTTCTTTTGAAAATTGCTTAGAAGCAAAATTTGAACTCCCTGACATGTG